TCTCCACATCGTCCTCTTGAGTGCTTTCATCTGAGAGTCAAACCCGACTCGCTGTCATGAGTCTGTAATCTCCCTTCCAGCTTCATTCAGAAAAGCAGATTTGATGTGACAAATCCTGGGCCCCCAGATGACAAATAAGTCAGGAATTCCCTTTGATAAGTACCACTCACTTTTATAGTGAGACTGGAAATGGGGGAAATGCGTCACTCTATTTTCATCAATCTGCCCTTGTGTCTGTGAAGACATTAAATTACAACAAGACCCGACACAGAAAGACCCCAGAAGGCTTGTTTTTCTGGAATTGTGAAATACCCAGAGATTCCTATTAAAAACAACAATGAAAATATAGTAAACAAAACTGAAAATATTTTTTTTGCATTGAGGCTATTGCTAATCTGCTTCTATATTAAAGCCTAAACTTTAATACAGAACATTTGTCACTTCTATTATCCTGTTTTTACCCAGAGTCTTTGTTCCTCACGGCAGGTCCACGGCTGCTGTAACGTTTTAAACGTTGACGTTCACATGCGTCCATATGGCGGCTGAAGGTACTTATGTAAACACTGAATCTAAGCTGGTTCTGCGTGCCCTGCCTGCCACACAATGATGTGCATGAATGAATAACATTAAATGAGTCATGCAGATACGAAGCGGCCTCATATGTTCGCCACAGATTTAAATTTAGCTCCGCGTAGGGAATCGATGAGACGTGCAGCTCAAAGCCAACAGCTTCAAAGAGCATGGTTACACAAGATGTAAGGAGTCAATCCCGCTTTATAGTTTTCTGGGCTGAGTGAGTGGGTTGGAGCTGCTGAGCTGCTCAAGGTGATACTGCAAAGAGTTCTGTGAACCTCCCTTCACAATGAAAGAGTGGAAAAGTTGCACCAAGGTTGTGTTGTGTGCTCAGGAAAAGAGACTGTTTTTGGTATCACTTTTCATATAGTTCCTTTTTTTTACCTAGAAAACATCAGGTGAAGGAGGAGGAAGTTGGACCGACTGAACGGAGAAACCAAGACAAGTAGTTAAACAAAGATCTAACGTGTAAAACAACAAATCAGGGTTTTGTGTTTGGCCAGTTTCCTGCAGAAGAAGATTCCGATTGGTTCAATGAATAGCACTCTGCAAGAAAACGTCACGTTTTCTCAAAAAGGTGAGAGTTGTTTTTGTTGTCAGCTATCTTACTGACAGCAAAAATGTTATCCAAGAAAAAACTGGAGTTTAACAACAGCACTTAGATTTAGATTTACTCTCTTTCCATGATTTAAATAAAAAATAAGGAATGATTCTCATTCACATATTCAGATGTGTATAATTATATTTTACCAGCTCTACAATGTACAATCAATATTTCCAAAAACACCGTTGAACACGTTGGCTAATGGCCGCTGCACTACAGGAGCTATTTCATTAGCTCAACAGGAAACTGTTCACGCTCATTCAGCCTCATGAACTGCTTTACAATTAACAATGCAACGTGTGCAGCGCCGCCCCCTGTTGTAGATAACATCAACACAGTCACTGTGCTGCTTCAAAGCTGAATTTCATACAAAACATTCTAAGGTCTGTTTTCTCATTAAGAACAGATAACACAATTACAGTCAGTGTTATTTCCCCGCTGTGGCACGACTGAAGAGAAGCATTTTAATATAATCTGCATTACTAGTCTCCCTCAATAGCACCTCGCCCCCTACTTTGGGAAACACTGGGCTATCATAATAAGCACAGAAAGGTGTGTATATCTGAGTGTGTCGTCCATGTCTGGTGGACACAGATGTTGATGAATCCTTTAACCTCTCCGTCAGACTCACTGACTGCTCCACAGTCCTGATGTGAAGCTACAGCTAGCTTGGTTGTAGCTTCACTGGTGTAAATGGGGTCAGAACTCTAGCAGCGCTGAGGTTTCTGGGTTTGTGTTGAGATGAGAGGAGACAGAAACTGACATGGAAACAGATTTGGAAATAGCACACTCACACTCCCCTCTCCTCCCCTCCCCCTCAGCTTAGAATAATCAGGGCAGAGGGAATCAACAGCACTGTACAACAGCCTGACCCCCGCTCTTACACACTGACACATACATTGCACACATACACACACACACACACACACACACACACACACACAGGCTGTATCCTCTCCACCACCAATTCCCTCACCCCCGCCCCCACCTGCCTGCTCTTTTCTCACTCTGCAGGACGAAAATACAGTGCCGCTCTGGGCTGCGTCAATGGGAAACTCTGTGAGGCCCCGTCCCTCCCATTAATCCCCCCTGACATGCCTCCCGAGGGCAGGGATTTGCTACAAGTCAATACAGGAGAGCTACAGTATGCAAAACAAGCCTGTCTGACGCTCTCATGACTTTCAAAGCCACTGCATTGCACTGTGCGTGAGACGGGAAGGAGCTCAGAGCAAACCGGGGGGGGGTCTGCACACAGACTGTTTAGTTAACCCTCACGTTGCTCCGATGTTCACTTCCCCTTTTCTACTTCCTTTTTGCTAACCCTCAGTAAAGTGGAGAAATAATGCTGGTCACACATGTGATCTAACAGTGAATGATGAACAGAAGTCGAGCTGAATATTTTCTCGCCCATTCATCTCGCCTTTCACAATTCCCTTTGTCCCATTCCAGACAGGCTTGAAACCTACCCAAAATATGAAAGCCACCCAACAGGAATTCACTGCTCATGTGATGCGTTCGCTTCCCTCAGGCGGGGGAGCGCTATTGAATTTCAGCCTAATCAGTGATCTAGTGATGAGCAGATAGGTGGAGGCTGGTCGGGGGCGGGAGAGCAGCCTGACATTAGAGAAGCAGTACGAGTGGTTGGGTGCCCTGGGGGGAGGGAGTAGGTGAAGGGGCCGCTTACAGACAGGGAATGTAAACAACAGAGGTGTGTAACCTAGCAACAGGCTAAGCTACACAGCGACACATGGGGAGGAAAAAGGAAGAAAGCCGCATGGAGCGCGAGTAGGGTGTGCAAGTTCAATTAGCATGAGCGGAGCAGCAGAGAAATGGAAAAACAGATGACAGCGAGGCGCTCGCCCCGCAGAGGAAGAGAAATCCAGCAGGATGTGTAGCCTGCTTTAGATTCACGTGATCACCCCCCCCCCCCACTCCCCCTCTTTTTCCATCCATCCCTCAGACCCTTTGAGATGGAAAAATGGGTCATCTGTGTGGAAGTTAATACTCCGAGCACGTACAGTGCTGTTTTATTTTTAGGACGTGCTTTGGAAAATTTCCTTTTTCTTTCATGACACAGAGACGGCACCGGGCAATTAATATAGTGTGTTACTGCGGTGCACACAAGTGGCAGTGCAGATGAGAGCAGCCGGTCTCTGTTATAGCTGCTGGCACGGCCTGGACATGTCTCATATTTCTTGCCCAGTCTGCCCTCTCCATGACAACGTACAGTAGGCGGCAGACTCTGGCACTGCAGAAATGACATCAGCAGCACCAGATAATGGGACTGTGAGTGTTAGCAGGAGAACGGGAGGAAAAAACATTTTCATCACCACAGCGCTGCAGCTGGTTGTCAGGTTTTTTTGCCAACAAAAACCCCTATAATATCTAAACATTTATTACATGTCAGGATTTCTGGTGTCTTCCCTGTGCTCTTTGTTAGATGTGAGAAAGCCTTTTATTCACACACAGAGCCACTAGCTAGAAACCAACACAACAGTAAAATAACTGCATTCAAGGGTAAGTGGAGATGGAAATTTATTATATATATTTATATGCTCCATTTACAAGTCACTTGGTCATAATGTGACCCCATCAGAGAATTCCCCTTTTTCTCTGCGGGACGTCTTTCTCTCCGGGTCAACACTTCAAGCCATATTTATCAATAAGAGAAGACTTTAGTATTTGCTTGCTAACATCAAAACACTCTAGTTTGTATCTCAGTCTCTGCTAAAGCACTGGGTCACAGTGAGCGACCAGCATGATGAAGTTCAATAACCCAACATGGCTGGTGGTTTGTTTGCTAATAGCAAAGTATCTAGAGCTTTCCTTTAGGGAAGGAGAGGCTTGAAGGTTGAAGTTCACCTGACGCTGAGCTCTGTTGCATCACACAGTAAATATTTAAGCTTGTCTGAGTTGTACTTAAACAGGGCATTAGCTCTAGAATGTGTGTTTTTACCCTTATGTTTGAACAGACTTTAGAACCTCAGGTACATTTTTAACAATGCCGGCACAGGATTCAGATGTTTCTGACGGATCAGTGTGCTGCGTGGAAGCAGAAACCTTCCTCTGAGCTTTAAAACACCACGTCGATGAGACGAGCAGGGGAGAGGGACGAGAGTGAGCTACGTGGAGCTGCTATAGCAACCACATACAACAGTTATTTCTGGAAACATTTAACGACCAAACACAGCTGCTTATACATAAGCAGACATCTCCACCAGTCAACAATTTGTGCATCTGAGACTACAGGGGAGAACAGCACCAAACTGAGACTGGACCTTTGGCCACTGATATGAACAGGTGAAACATGAGAGCATTTATTGCTGTGTATTTGATTCAGATACTAAACACACGTCTAATAGAAGGCACAGGTATAATAATGACATCCAGTCCATATAAGATCTATGCACATCACAGACTGTTGATTCTGTACATTCCCACTTTTTATTTCAATGCTTTGTGCCTTCAACAACGCGTTATTTCAGGTGTTCTGAATGAACAGGGTGAGTCCATCAGCGGCAGAACATTTAAAACAGGATTACACTGTGTTCAAAAAGAAACACCTCCAATGCACATGGTCCTTGTGCTGCAGGCACCACCATTGTTATTGCTGTCAACTCAAACTGTTATCCTCTATACTCCATTCAGTACTTCTTGCGTGAAAAGTCGCCGAAGCTTGCAATGAAGCAACAGTGCCCCCTACTGCCCGAAACTCGTAGTGTCCGTTATTCTTCTCCAAAGTTTCTGCTTTGTCAGATCTAAAGA